GATGCAAGTTTCAGCCGTTACCTCAACAGCACCAGAAGTTTTGGGGATCATCAGCGATGTTGATTAGGTGCTCAAATTCAGGTTCAAATGCCATACGCCATTGTATCCATGTTTTCTTTTCAATTTCCCCAAGCAAATTTTCAATGAATAATACTTTTGATCGGTTATCGGGAAATTGTTTTTCACTGAGGAGGTTTAATGTGATAGATTCCCATCGGGAGATCACATCATCATATAAAGAAAAATCATCGGGTAAGATAAGTAGGACTCCTTGATTATTGTGGGCTGATGGCAAGGTCCACATATTGGATTGAAAAGTCTTGCGGAAATTCAAAGTCTTTGGTTTGTAGTACTGAAATGGGTAAGAGGAGGATGCATCTGGTTTAGCAGCTAAAGAAGTTGCGGGGGGGTAATTTACGGGTCCCATGACAGGTTCATTTGGGGGAAGATAATTGGATGATACAGATGCATAAAGATTCTCAGCTTTTGTAGCCATCTTCTTGAGTTGTGGGTAATCAAGTTCCTCCAAGTGATTTTGAAGGGTAAAGCATGTTTGGGTTGGTGGAGTTGTTGGAGGAGTTGACGGAGGTAATGCAGGCTCATCGCCCCAACCCGTGGGTTGGATTGATATGTTTGGCAGAGATGTATATGCAGGAGGCGTATAATAAACGAGATAATCATATTTGCCTGATGGTTGACCAAGTGTGCCAACGTAGGGGTGATGGTTTTGGTATTGGTTCAGATGCAAGTTTCAGCCGTTACCTCAGCAGCACCAGAAGTAACAATCTCTGTAGCAACAGGAGTATCAACCGTAGCGACCGGTTCAGCCACCAGTTCGTCCGCAATCTCAGCAGCACCAGGAGTAACAATCTCTGCAGAAACAGGAGTAACAACCGTAGCGGGAGTAACAACCGTAGCGACCGGTTCAGCCACCGGTTCGTCCGCAATCTCAGCAGCACCAGGAGTAACAATCTCTGTAGCAACAGGAGTAACAACCGCAGCGACCGGTTCAGCCACCAGTTCGTCCGCAGGAGTAACAACCGTAGCGAACGGTTCAGCCACCGGTTCGTCCGCAATCTCAGCAGCACCAGGAGTAACAATCTCTGTAGCAACAGGAGTAACAACCGTAGCGACCGGTTCAGCCACGGTTGTTATAGAAGGCTATAATAGCTTGACAATCAGTCCTGAGAGTTATTTCTGCCTTATCCAGATAGTGAATTTTTAAGGCTTCAAGTGTTTCCATGCAGGCATGAATTTCTGCGTCAATTGTAGATTTGAGAGTGGCGAACTTCCCACTAGCGTATGCACACACCTTCTCTGTACATTTAGGATCTCGTTTGTGTTTCTTCCATTTGCAGACGCCTCCCCAGCCTTCCATACAGAGATTCATGTCAATCATCCCGGCTAGGGTTTCCTCAGTGCGTCGTAGAGGCTGGAATAGTTCGGTATAGCAATTGTCTTTTGACACGAGTCGTCGACAGTATTCGGTCTTATTTGTGTATATTCGTAATAAGCTTCGGAGCTCATTAAGGACTGTATAAGTCTGTTCAACTTCGACCCTTTGGGCTGTACCTCTGAGTTGGTCTTGATGTGTAACTTCAATGGGATATTGAAGTGTTTGTTGTAATATTTCGCGGTGCAAATCTTCTTTGCGTAGTCTGGTCCGTTCTGGATCTGTTTGTTTTGGTCTGGGTTGTTCATAATCATCGAAAATTCGTTTGAGTTTTTCTGCTATTGGATTTGCTGATCTTTGCTGGAAGTATTCTCGAGCGAACTCCTTGTAATCTTGTGTGTAATCTTCATAGCTCTTTCTTGTCCTTCGTGCCTTAGGATCCGTTGTATGAGTGTGAGTTGATTCTTTTCCTTTTCGGCGTGACTCCGTGCTTCGTTGATTTGGTTCCATCCAGTGAGTAATGTTTGTGAAGATTGTCCTGATAAGGTTCCTGCACATAAAACAAACGTTAGTCGAGAAAGATTGTCTGCGAGGACGTTGTTTTTGCCTTCGATATGCTCAATGCGGATTGATATTCCGAGACCGTTGATGTAGTCTGTAAAGGATAACCAGCGTACTCGGGATGGTTTATGGGCTGCTGATTTGTTATAGAAGGCTATAATAGCTTGACAATCAGTCCTGAGAGTTATTTCTGCCTTATCCAGATAGTGAATTTTTAAGGCTTCAAGTGTTTCCATGCAGGCATGAATTTCTGCGTCAATTGTAGATTTGAGAGTGGCGAACTTCCCACTAGCGTATGCACACACCTCTGTACATTTAGGATCTCGTTTGTGTTTGTTCCATTTGCAGACGCCTCCCCAGCCTTCCATACATCCGTCTGTTTTGAGGACTATGTATGCATCTTCCGGTGGTATTTCGAGATCCGGTAGTTGTTGTACTAGATCTCTCTTCTGGTACGCAACTTGTTTATATTGCCCCAAACCTTATGCTCTCTATCCATGACTTCCTCCACCATATCAACAGGAGTATCAACAGGAGAATGTGCTTTCCCAAATCAGAAATTCATGCCTGGGCTTATGAATGCCGTCCATTCGATTGAATCAGGATGCATGGCTACCTGATGGAAACCACTTTTGAGATCGAACTTAGAGTATATCTTGCTATTTCCAATTTTCTTTAGCAATGTATTTATTCCTGGTAAGGAATATTGATCTTTGTACGTGTTGTCGTTGACTGATCTGTAGTTGAAGACCATTCTTTCCTTTTTAAAGCATGATGTTGCTCCCGTATCAACAATAGCCCGGATGTTGAATCCTGGAACATCAGGTACCTCGAAATGGATAATGATATTGTACAGACGGTTTAGTACCTTTTTGGATGGCTTCTCAGCACTTTCTTTAGCAATTTCAGTCATGATTCTTGCTTCTTGGACGTCTGTCTCTTCATCGTCTTCGAGTGCTCTACTTGCATCATGTATTTGCAGTTCTTGTCGTGATTGCTCTAATTGTTCTGATAGGAGTTTTTCAATCTGTTCTTTTAAGCGTCGGTTTTCTTCTACGAGGTGATCTGAATATTTGATTAACTCATGAATCAGTTTCTCTCTTGATTGATACGGTTGAAGCATTAACTCTTTGGGGATTGTGATGGAGAAGTAAAATAAGGCACACATGGGACATGCCGTGATTTTGCATAGAGGACAATGCATCCTCATCTTGCTGTTTGAATTTATTGCACAGTAGGTGCATTTAGCGAAAGCTCCTTGAATGGGTTTATTGAATTCCCATTCATGCGTGCATAGTTCTTGCTCCGGCTTTAGGGTCACTTTATGTCTCCACCCCAGATCTTCCTTCATCATGAATAAAAATTCGTCCGGAGTATTTTCGAGTGCATTTCGAATGTGCACCAGTGTATTAGCACCTTCACCTTCTGAAATACTGCAAATAGTGTCAGATGGTTCTTCATCAAGATCTACTGATAATATATCATAATCTTCTGGTAGATCAAGATTACTAATTATGGATGTTCTGGCCATATTTCCTTGTTTACTTTTACATTCACGAGCAAAATGTCCTTCTTCTCCGCAGATATAACATCGACATTTGGTACTCCTTGGCTTGTTTTTATCTTTGATGACTCTAACATGGGAGTCATGAGGCTTTCCTTTGTAATTCTTGGATTTGCGTAATCCAAACTTTTTTTGATGGTTGTAGTATCCAGGCACATGGATCTTTTTACAGATAGATAGGTCTTTAATTCCGCGTTGAATGGCAGCCTTTTTGCAAAGATCCGCTAGGTATTGGTAGGTAAATTTGATGTGTGGTAATACCCCGATGGTATTTCCTGGATGGCGTTCTTTGAAAGCCTTTTCTACTTCTTCTCCGAGAATTGGTGGCATCATCACTCTTGAAGATCCGTACCAAGGGTCAACTGAAGAGCAGAACCGAGCATACCTAGATCTGGAGAGATTATCCTGTAATCAAATCAAAAATATGTTTGAATATATGAATGATTACAAAGTACTTGCTGCAAAATCAGGGAGAATGTATATTAGCTCCGAATTATCTGAAAAATTCTTCAAGAAGATGCCACCAATTCTCGGAGAAGAAGTAGAAAAGGCTTTCAAAGAATTAGGAGGCCCGTTCGCGTGAAAGATCAGGAGGCTTGACAAGAGGCCATTCAAGAGTGGAAGGTTGGTTGAGATCGGCGAGTATGGAGGTGCAAATGGGATCGAAGTGTGCACAGCGAGTATGCAACTGAGGGATTCGGTTACGGGGTCGTGTGACCAGCAGAGATCAAGGGTTTCCTTGCGTGTAGTTATGTGCGTGAGAAAGAGTCAAACAGGGGAGTAGAGTCGGGCTTTCTTGCGTGCCTGTGTTCGAATGAGAGAGTGCATGCGGGTTGGGGTGGTTTTGTTCCGTGGGTGGTTGTGAGATCCTGTGTGAGTGGGGTAGTGGGAGCCGGCCGGTCTGACGATTTGTTGTTTTATTTTTATTTATTTTTTATTATATTTTTTTCTTTTTCAACATTCCCTGCTGTAACCACCATCTCCCCAAGAAAAAATGGAAAAAACTCCAAAGAAAGTAGAAAATTTCAAAGGCCTTGGTTCCACACTCAACGGAAAACTTAATCTTTTTCTTATGGGTTTCAAATACCTCAAATGATCCCTAAAACTTCTTCATCCCAAAAACCACTAACATATCCCTCCTCACTTCACAGACCTTTCCACTACATCCCCACAAGCTGGCTTACTAACCCAAATAATTAAACTATTACATCTCTCAAAGGTCACCTATAGCCAAGGTTAAAAGTTCACCGTCCAGTCATTCTCACAAGCCCATATACACTCTATTAGACATCCTACATCATCCTCACTTTATATCTACAAAGATAACCATATCCAATTCACAACAACACCTTCAGAGTGTCATCAATAAGACTAAAATAAAAGTATATCAATTAGTGCATAGTACTAGAAAGAATGATGATTTGATTGCCTGAAAAGAAATTAAAACAAAAAATAACATGATAAAAATGTGAATAAATATACCACACAAACTCTCAAAAGATCTTTTAAGATCATTGGCCGTCTCCTCCGCCGTTATCATTCGCACTCGAACTTTCTCTAATAGCAATCCCTTTGCTTGTATATCATATTGCACTTGCTGAAGAAATGAAAGGTAAAAAGATCACAAGGATGATGAGACTTCAACAAAAATTCAAACTAAAAAAAATATATCTTATAAATAAAAGGAAAAGTTACCATGATTTCTTGACGAACTTCCACCTCATTTGTTGCTGTGTCGGGAATAGCCTCAGTAGAACGAGAGCTCTTCATATCTTTCAATGTGAGTAGCTTTGACATTAAACTTCTTTCTTCACCAATCCGCCGCCTCTGAGATAACAGATTGAGGTAACAGAAGACTGAATATGAAGAGAACAAATGAAGACCACGTTATCAAAAGTCTATTACCTTGACATTTCGTACTTCCTCTTCAAGGTCCTGTGAAGCTCTATCAGCATTTCTTTTTCTTTCTTTTCCTTTTTCCATCAACTCTTGAACGATCTTGGTCTCCTTCTCAAGATCATGAATTTGATTCTCAACTGAGCTGCAAAGGCGACCATTCCTAATCCTCTTGTTCGGTGGAAGCGTAGTCTGGACTGAACCCCTATAAAACCTGATGGAATACTGACAAAACAAATTAGGTAATCCAAAATAAGAAAACAAAAAAGTTAAAATTATTCATGCAAAAAAAGGGAATTTATAATAAATGTATTTTTGCATAAATACTAATGTTCTGAACTTCTCAAAGATAAATGCAAAAGCTTTAGGGACTGTTTGGTTTTAAGGAATATTGAATTCGATATATTTCAAATTCAATGCAAAATAAATACATGTTTGAAATACTCTTGGTTGTTCAGTTAATTGTGAGATAAGCTGAAGGGATTATTTTTTCAACCACTAAAATAATTTTAAATATATGAATGGATGTATGCGGGCAGCATCAATGACAGGCAGGCAGAGAGTTGCGTCACATAAGGGGTTGATGGCATCGCGTGTGGGGCCGCACACTTGAGGGTTGCATTGGCAAGTGGTTTTGCATCGAAGGGCTGAGTTGCATGCAAAGGTCACATCAACATGTGGCATCAGTGTGGGTTACTGATGCGGATATCCAACCGTGAAAGCTTATCAGAGGAGACGAAGATTGACGGCCCTGATCGCACCATTTAATTTTAAGTTATTATTTTTGTATTTATTTATTTATTTATGCATTTCTCCCTTATTACCCTCACTTGAAGGAGTAGTCATATGTAAGCCCTAGGGGTATGTTTGTCTTTTGAGTTTCTCTTGTTTTGATGCCTATATATAGAGCTCCATGCTATTGTATTAGGGGGGATGAATATGAAGAAATTTTATACACTTTGTTCTTAAGAGCTATGGGAGTTTTTAGGAGAGTGGAATTCCCTATGTGAGGGCAACAAAATACCCACCAGCCGCAGGAAGTGTTCGGGCTCGTGGTTTGAAGTCCATAGGTGAGGGCATCGTATGTAAGACCCAATCAGGTATGTTACATAACTTAAATATATTGTAAAACTTATTACAATAATAAATTAATGTTAAATAACTATTAATATTTAAGTTTTGTTAATTATTCTGTAGCCAAATATCTTAAACTAATATATATAAATTAAATAATAATCTTGTTTCCATTCAGGCATCCAAAAAGGCATCCGTTGGCTTTCACCTTAGTGGAAACTGATTGGAAAATGAGGGTTGGTTATTACATTGGATAAGGATTGAAGTGGGACCCACTTCCCCTTGGCTTGATCTGCATAACCGTGGATATTCCATAGATATAGCAAGTGAAGGTTTCGGTGCAGAGAAAATTCCCTTAGGTTGTTCGGCAATACATACAGAATTTACTATTCACCTATTCGGAGGTTGTAGGCGGAGAAGGGGAAATCCTGTAGCAGTGTTCGTTATACTGTTTGATTGCGGGAATACCATTTGTTTCGGTATAATAGAGGCAGGCAAGTGTCACTGGGCACTAAGGAATTCACATAATTCCTGTTATTGAGAGAATTCGGCCTAAGTGCAGAAATTTCTGAGAATTCATTTCAGGTATGGGAAGTATTTATGATAGTAAATGTAATTAATAAACAACATTCAGGATTTAGAATGATGAATCTAATTGGATTTGTAATTATAGTTGTGGTAGAAGCAATAAAGGAAGAGTGAGAAGGAAGAAGAAATTTAAAAAAGAGTAAAAAAATAAAAATAAAAAATAAAAAATAAATTTAAAAAGAGGAAATAAACGTAAGTTCTTTTGGTATGTGCTTAGGGTAGATTTCCAATTGGCAATGAAAGTTCCTAAAGATGTTATAACTTATGGTGTCATGGATAAATTTGGTCATATGCTAAAAAAAAGCTTTGATGTGACTTACAATCATAGAAGAGTTCGTAGTAGGGAATTGGAGAAGACGACTCGGCAAGAAGGTAAGTATTGCCATATTAATGTTTAAAGAAAGTTATGTGTTATGATGAATTTGTTTTCTTTAAAATGTTTTCTCCAAGCTTTTGAATATGATCTACTGCTTATACCTTTTTGCTATCATATAAGTTCACATAAGCTTTGGTTACATCATTTAAATGGTTCTATGTAAGAATGTTTGGAAGAATGTAAAGTTTCTTGAAAATTTATGCATATTACTTATACAAAAGATTGTCATGAAATGAAGACTGATATGATATGAATTATGAAAGAATGTTGAATACAAAATTAATGTAAAGTTTGGCTATGAATAATGTATGCCTTATCATTGTAGTTGGGACAAAAGGGTTCCCATATAAGAACTACATGATAAGTGGGGCAAAAGGGACCCGAGAGAATTATGAAACCTGCATAGTAGGTGGGGCAAAAGGGACCCCAAAAGAGGCAAAAGGGACATCTATATAATTCAATGGCGATAATGCCAGGTTTACCTGGGCTCCATTGAATAATGTTATGAAAATATAGCCAAATCTTTCACATAAAATTTATATTCAACAAAGATTTGAAGGATAGAAAAACATAATAATGATCATGACTTGTAATGTTTCAACAATAATTTCAATGTTGTAATTATTCATGTTATACTATTTTAATTGCTAATTAATTCTGCATTACTTGCTGAGCCTCACAGCTCACAAGAACTTTCTTCTGGCTGTTGTTACAGGAAAGGAAAAAGAGCAGATTGATGCAAAGTAATTTATACAAGTGTTTCTTCTTTTTATGTTAAAGTTACCTTTGTTAGTGAGTTTACTTTTCAATGTATTGAAACAAATTAAACATGCATTACTTTGAATTTATTTGGTTTTCCTTAGTGGCTATGTACTAGGCTTTGGATGAAACTTGGAAATTTGTATATGCTTCCTTTATTGTATTAGATGAAGTTTATATAATCTTTTATATGAAGTTGAAATATAATAAGATGAATGAGATATTTAGTGATGAAAATGTTATGTTTATTCTTGTTGCACTCTACCTTACTATTAAGGAGTACTGTGTTAGCTCCCATCAGCCGCAGGAAGCATCCGGGCTCATGATTTATCTTTCTTTCTTTTTCTCCTCCCCTCCATTCCCCCACCGTCGGACAAACTCCCTCTCCAAGCCGCCGGCCCAGGACCCACTTCCCCTCCTTCCACCACCACCGGCCCCCTTCCTCCTTCCCCCTTGAAACTGCCGATTTTCAAATCCCCCCTCACCCCAACCGAGAATCCCACCACCACTCCCAAGCCCAACTGGCCACCCCTTCCCCACCTCTAAACCACCCATACTACTTCAAGCTAATCCCCATAGTCGTCGGCAACCCAACCTTCCATTGGCTCCACAAGTTCCCTCTAGCATTCAACGCCCTTTCCATTTTGGCCTCCTTCATTTGGTAACAAATTCAAATTCAAAATTCAAATAAATTTGAATTTGAATTTGTTTCCTAAAATAACAATCCCTATTTTACGATAGTTCCTAAATTAATCCTATTTGAATTTTGAAATTAGACGGGAATTAAATTAATCATTCCTAATTTAAAATTCTAAATCAAGCAAGCCTTGATTTCCAATCCACAAGCCTCACTCCCTCCTTGATGCCGCTGGCCCCCACTTCCCTACAAAACCCCATCTCTTTCCTAATTTAGATTGTCATTAATTTGGAAATGAATTTAAATTCAAATTAATTCAATTTGAATTTCAAATCCCTCCTAATTAATTACATTAATTTTTGGAAGCTTCCCTCATTCTATTAATTAATCAAATCTAAAATTGATTGATTAAATGATCCCTAATCCAAATACATTGAACCTAGACACCCCTTCCCCCCTCCCTCTCTTGGCCGGCACTTGGGTCCAAATCAAAGGAATTATTTCCCCTAATTCCTCGCTCTCCCTCTCCCCTCTCTCTTTACCTGCCGCCCCTCTCCTCTACCTATCCTACTTAATTCCTTCCCTCCTTGTTTGAATGCTAAAATTCAAATCCCTCAATCAAAGGGAATCTCAAATTTATTTTCAGAGTTCCCCTTTTAATCCCTTTACCTCCCTTACCCAACACTTGACATCTAACACCTAAAGGGATCTCCTTTCCCTAGCCTTGGCCGAACCTACCCTCCTCCCTCCTCCATTATTTCCCTCTTCCCTTACTACACTTACAACCCAAGGAAGAAGGCACGCTACTTCTCGGTCTACCTCCCTCTATGGATGGCCGATCCCGAGCGTGACCATGGATTTGTCTATGACCATCAAGGCTTAGTGGATATTCTTCAATCCCCTTTCTTCGACCTCAATCTGGAAGTTGAGGACACCGTCGACGAATACGTAGACCGCATCCTCTTCGCCATGACATCTTCTATTGAAGAACACCTACCATTCGGACATTGACGAATCATTGGGAATCCACCCGCGTCTTCCCCTTCGGCTAACTTTCCGTGGATCAAGACCGTAGGCATCCACTTTCTTTCGGTAGCATCTCTAGCTTGCCACTTCGTTCTACATCAGTTACGATCTCCTTCTCTTCGAGCTGCTTATTTTGAATTCATCAAATTTGCACAAATTTCGAATACATAGAAATTATTCTGAGGGATATTCCAAATTCTTCACTAAATTACAATGCATTTCTTTTTCTTCCAACCAATCACCTTTAATAGTCGCAAAACCCCTGCATTTGATAGTACACCTATAATACACTAAAGCAAACAAGCCCATCAAGAAAAAATAATGTACTCCCCACAAATGGCATATTGCATTCACAAACCTCATGAAGTCATTAATTACTACTAATATTTGTTTTTACCAAAATATATTTGATGTTCAGATTTCTGAGAAGTTTTTTTATATGAACTTGGAACATAATACCATTTATATCAACATAATGAACATATAACAAGTTTCTACTTGGGTACATTGAAATTCTTGTCAAATATTGAAGGTGTTATAGATCAGATGCATTTTTTCCCTGAAACTCGAGCAACTTTCACTGGCTTCTTGGTCTGTGGATTGTCATAATCTTCTTATGCCCAATTTTTTTATTTATTTTAGGTTTCAAAAGCTTAGGTTGTCAGTATAGCTACAGTTTACAAATTACGACAGTTCTGGAATGAATTCTGACAATGCTATGTTGAATTAACTAGCGCTGAAATAAAGTTCAGGTCAATACCCCTGAACAGAAAATGCTGGCAATCAATTAACGTTTGATACGACCAGACTGCCGTGCCAACATCTTGACCCAAGAAAAGGACAACGTCAATCTAAACAATTACACGACCAAAGTGATTCCTAATGCCATTGTCACTCTAATTTTGTGTACGAAGATAGGCACATAGAATTCATGTTAATTTGCATAAGAGATGTTTTGAACTTTGATTGACAATATTCACAACCTTTCACATCTAAGTCAATGTTACTCCTCCCAACATGAGCTAATGCAACAAACTAAATTCAGGGTAACATAGAGAACTTTAAGATTGTCTTACGTTACCATTGGACCAAGGGTGAACAGACCAAGTCACACGCTATACATAAGTCAGCTAAAAGATATTCCAGCAGGGTATATATTCAGATAGAAAGGTCAAGAGAATATTCAGAAGAGTAGGCATTAAGGTACTTTCAAAAGTAATCCATCTACCAACAATGATTAAGCTGAAGACAAGGGCAGAGCATGCAAGATGTGGAACAGAAAATGATAGGTAAAAACCATAGCTTGTCAGAAGAATAGATTACATTCTAAAACCATCAGAAGTGTAGACCTCCTTCATATTTTGAATTCTCTGTTCAAAAGCAACATCTTTGCCTATCTCATAGTTTGGAACAAGAACTTGTCTTTCGGCACTACCCTGCAAAGCAGATGAGGATATTTACTACAATAGTTTATTGGAAGTAAGCTTACCAAATAGATACAAAGATACATGTCAGTTAAAGATAGACAGCCCAAAACAATGAAGTTTTTCAAATTGAATAATAAAAGGATGGCATTAATGATAAAAAAAAAAGCCATTTTCCCTGCTCATTGTAATACTCAAAATTTTGAAATGATAAAAAAGAAAATTCCAAAAATTTTATAACCCAATTTTCACACCTTACCAAAAAGATAATAATATTTATATAAAATTATATATTTTCCTAGGATCATTTCTACATATATATAATTTATATAAATTGATTTGAGCATTTAAGTATTAACCTAAAGTTTATATAATCTCACTGTTCATGTAAGTAATATTACTGTACACCAAATTAATGTAATGTAGCTTCCTATTTGGCTTTTCCACTTACCATAGTGGCTGATGCAGAAAGCTGCAGTTAGTAATTGTTTTAAGGAATTCTTTGTATAATGCTATATAATTATATATTATACCAATACTTATATTAATATGCATTTTATTCTCTTTTCCATTGCCAATAGAATACAACCAAAGAGAACAAGGAGAAATGGAAAGCCAGGGCTGAAGAGCTACGTTTTTGGTTAAAAAATCCAACTATTTTTTATGAAACAACTTCGATTTGAGATCAATAGATATTGAGGCTTACATGAGTAAAGATTAATTTAAGATGGAAGTTTATCTTGAGGATATTTTGATTTAAAATTAAGCTATAAGTTATAAAATTTTATGATTTGAGTGATTTAAAATTTTTAAATTATTTATAACAAGTCAAGATATTGAGGCTTACACGACACGAACACAGAACACGTTTTTCTTTTTTTTTTTAAATAAAGGACACGAGTACGGCGCGGACACGACATTACATTTTTATATAATGTATAGATATTAATGTAACATCATATTAAAAATGACAACAATAATAAATGAATGACATGATAATTTGTCTAGCTTATAATATAAAATATTTAGTACAAAATATCTAGTACAACCACAAAAATATAAGCAAATAACCACTTACTACAACATAAAGCATTCAATCTTGAAATATTAGGAATAGCTTTAGAGGTTCGTTTTTGGCCTTTAATATCATCATCATTGAATATCATTGTTTTCAACTTTGGTTCATCAAGAAAAAGATTTGCAATAGTTCATTGGATATTTCTTCTTTGTATATATTTAATTCTGTAGTTTGCTAGTTCTCTCCCATAATATTTCTTTATCCTCTAATCAAAATCACAAAGAATGTATCTATTTACTTCTATACTTTCGAGTTCTCTCTCATAATAGTTCATTGGATATCATATATTTATAATTAAAATAATTTTATCATAAAAAATTAGGACACACGTGTCCCAGCCGTGTCTGAAACGTGTCGGATTAAATTTAAACATTATTTTAATCGGAGACGTGTCTGCTGTGTCCGACATGTGTCCCAGCATGTCAGACACGTGTCCGACACTGCATTCTCTCTTCAAGAGGTGTGTCGGTGCATCATAGGTTGATCATCAATGAGATAATAAATTTGATCTCCAATTTAGAGAACAAGTTTGTTCATTTTTCGCATGTTAATTGTATATCTATGATGCACCGACACGTCTCCTCAAAGAGGTATGCAGTTTCGATACTTATCGGATATGACATGCCTTCGGCACCTCTAACATGTGTCAGACAAGCCAAAGATGTGTCCAATTAAAAATAAATTAGACGCACATTTGCAATACACGTCTTAAATATTTTATCAATTCTTTTAATATAATTTATTTGTTTGAATTTTTTATTTATTAAAATAAAATTAAAATTTTATTTCCTCTTCAAAACCCCAAAACAATCCCCTGTATTCAATACCTCACCCCCTGAGCATTCTCATTTTCATTTTTCTCTAATGAGTTATGACTAGGGTTTCACAACAACGTCAGATGTTATCTCAATAAAGATGTCCAACGTCCTCACAACATCGATGTTTTAAAACCATCACAGCATTAAAATTTGATGATGCCTAGATATTAATTCACGACGTGAGCAATTTAGCAATTTCACACCCCCACGACGTCTAGACATCTCATCTTTGTCCAATGTCATCTCAACATCGACGACCAATATCGTCTCGACATCGATGCCCGATGCCCATTACATAACAACGATGCCCAATTCACGGCGTCATTTTCATCTCCCCTCTTAATGTCTGACACGACATCCACGCCTGACTCTTGACGTCCTAATATTAATCAATTTTAGCATATATCTTAGTTAAATGACATAACATTCTGCTTATTAAATCCTCTACAATTGCTTTAAGATATAAAAATTATATTAATATGTCCAACCCCTATCCATGTGCTATATTTTCAAAAATTGACGTGCTTCATGTCCGTGTCATGCCATGTCCATGTCATTGTATTCGTGTTAGTGCATCATAGTTTTATATGTACTTAAAACTTGTACGTAAGTGATGAATTCGAGTCTTTCATACCATATATGTAAGTACTACCATTCATGATTAAATGATTGCACGTCAACTTTAAATTATGAAAATAACATTTAAAATATTAGGAATATGCCAAAACTCTATTGAAATGTTGTATTTTAAAAGTTAGTCGTTTTACATTTATACGTTGCATATGTATCGACTAGTATATATATATATATATAATTCATAACAAAGGGGTTTTGCAACTAGGGAACTTGTGGGCACCGTTGAGATTGTAATTTTATGATATCATTTTATGGCAAAACCACCTAGTCAAAGGGCCCTTTTCATAACTATTTACATGTGGTATTATATGACAATATAATCAGGTTAAAAGAAACGCACTGCATCCTTACAATAATAAAGTCTTTTAAGAATGAATATAGTATACATACAATAAGACATTGACTCTTTGTGAGCTGAGATCATTCCTAAATTTCTCATTCTAGACAAACAAGGTGGATACATTTGGCTTTAAGTTATAAGAGATAAATATAAATTGAATTTTTATATTTCTCTAATTTTTTTATATTTTTATTTTTTATTTGGATGTGGCCTTGAAGTGATCTACATTAGAATTTGAGGGCATTTTGAAAGATATAATCTCCTCCAGTTGATATTTTCTGTCAACACCGTCATCATGAGATTTTGCACAATTTAAATTTGTTGCTTTAACCTAGTACACCCTGCTCGCGTGCTGGAAGAGGATTGGTTTCACATATAAGCTTCATGAGTTATCATATAACTGGTGTGACTTTGAAAGTTTGCATTTTAAAGTGAAATTTCTTTCATGAGAGGCATTAAAGGTCTAATAAGAATGCAAAATAAAATATCTTGCATTGTAGATTTGTTGTGTAGACATCTTTGATAGAGTCAAAGCCTTGTCTACTATGATCCTTGCAAGGAGGATCACTTTGAAATGTGGGTCATACAAGTATACCCTATAGGCAAGGATACCCATTCAAGAGCGTCATACAACGATGAGTTCGATTTTAAAAGAGAGAGCATACAAAATTTTTAGAGCACTGCATGATCATTTCTTTAAGATGGTTACATGCTTCTCGGAATGGGATAAGTTCATATTTAATTTATTTTTAATCTGCGCATCATTTTCAGACTTAGTATTTGAGCATTTAGCATATTTGTTAGAGCACATGCATGCATTTTGACTTTAGTACTTTTGTATGTCCTTCAATACAAATGCATAACGCACTTACACACTTGTGAGTGGTATTTACATGATGCATTTGCATTTTTTTTAATGCACTTGCACAATAGTATGATTTTTCATGCACTAACATAATCTGATTGCATTCTTTTCTATGCATTTACACAGTGCACATGAATTTTTCTCAATATGCTTGCGCGCTTTTATAATAGTTACACAATTCTGAAGACAGAGCACGCCTCTTAATGCAACAACACAATTCTCAAAGAAATTGCACTCGAATCTAAAAGTTGTGTTGCAAGCAGGCATGTGGTTTTAAAATATATGGATTTTGATTTTTCAACAAATGATTATTGTTAAAATATGCCCAAAATTTCATCTTGCATTTTAAAAAAGAGGGCGCTTTCCACCTTTACCTTCTTGCATGTACATGTTAGGGATCAAATGACGTACAATATGTGTTGGGGTAAATTGGAATCGCATCACATATTTCACAATGTCACATAATTTTGTCTTCAAATGGTCGTAATTTAATAGAGTCGGCCATACGGGGAATTAATTTTCTTGCTCATAAATAGAAGTGCTTGCTCACTTGAGCTCTCCACTTGCTTATGAATATTTAAGGGTGTTCTGAGGTTCAAAGCATGCAAGAAGAGTTCAGGGTCGTTCAAATTATGCCTATAGGAAAGCTGTGATATTCGAGGGTGACTTATGTAAGCTAAATTGTTCTGAAAAGTCCTAGTTCAGTGGGGTTGAGGCGTGCCAGTGAGAAGTATCATGCAAGTTAATTTAAGCTCCCAAAGGATCATGGAAGTAGTATCTAGAGTGCTAATATCACTTATTTGGAAGATTAGGAAGTAAACTAAGGCTCACTACCTCAAAAAGAGGAGTTTTGACGTTGGAAGATTCAATGCAAGGGACAAGAAAAATATTCATTTCAGATTTTGAGAAAGCTTGTTTGAACATTTAGGTGAAAAACTTATACTAACCATATCTACTAAAACATTCCATATTGTAGGATTCTCTGTATGCAAGACTGAGATAGTAGTTGAATGGCATGTCGTAGGAAGCAACTGACTGGGTATATTAAGCCTGCAAAAGCAAACTAACGAAATCAAACGTTGCTGAAATTCTCTCAAACAACCAAAATAACGAGAATACTGCAAATAAACACACAATCCTAAAATAAAAATCATAACAGTAGCGGAACTCAAACCTTGGCCTTGAGAAATCGTAGATAATAATCTGAAGATTATGGTAATTTGCTTCTCTAGCACAAGCTCTTAGAACAAGTGAATCTTTATGATCAGAGACAATAAAGGCATCTAATAACCTTCCAATGGCATTCTCAACGGCAAGAGCCCAGGTATCATCGTTTGCCAAAGACTGCAATATACAAGAAAGTAAAAAACCCTGTCAAGCAAACTTACGACAATGTTAAACAACTTCAGCAACAACAACAACATTAAGCCTTTATCCCACCACGTGGGGACAGCTACATAAATCTTTTTTCTCCATTGTGTCCTATTCAGAGTCCAATTATCATTTAAATCTAATAAAAAAAAGTCATTTCTAATACTTTCTAACCAAGTCTTTTTAGGTCTACCTCAATCTTTCTTAACATAGGCCAAATCTAATGCAGTCATTCTCCTAACTAGGTCATCAAAAAGTAGATGTCTATGTGACCAAACCATCTAAGACGACTCTCTCTAACCTAATCTACCACTAGACCTACTCCAATCTTTTCATGTGTATACTTCCTTCGCATTCTATCTCTAATAAGAGTAAAGCCACTCATCCACTTGAGCATCCTTATCTTTGCAACACTTATTTTAATTTTATGCTTCTCTTTTAATGGTCAACAATCTATGTCATAGCATTGCAGGTGTCAAAACCATCTTATAAAATTTTACCTTAAGTTTGAGGGTACTTTTCTATCAAACAACCATCCCAATGCATTCCTTCACTTCAACCAAAATTATAGCAAAGTGTACTGCAACTACATATTCATAACAAAAGACAAAATAGATTCTGCAATTACCACTATATACCGTTGGCCACATAAATGTACTAAATTTAAGAATTACATTCTATTTGTACAAGAACGGAATGCTTTCTTCCAGCCTGAAGCACATCAACCAAATTAAACGCCTAGGCTTGGTAAAGGGACAAAAAGGCTCAATCAAATCGGAAACAAAAGTTTTAGTCTGACATAATATTAATATGAAGCGCCTAAGATGCTTGGTGAAGCAAGCAACACACTTTTGAATGCATCGGAGGCAGTTATTGAACGATCACTATTTTTATTTAGGGTGCTAAGATTGCTATAGTTAATCATATTCTCATAACGTTCATGGAAAAGTTTATCAAAATATCTCATCCACCAATGCTCAATATCCTCTTTTAAGTAAAACAGATTTTAATCTTCATCGTTAATAAACCTAACAAGAACTAAATTTTAACTTCTCCTAGCTCTTTGTTGGGCAATATATACATCTTTCACCCTCCTTAGAATCTAATTGATTATATAAATCACTAAAAACAGTTTTTCACATCACATATTGCTAAGTTTATATCTTTTTCCAATTTATCGAGCTTTACATCTAAATTAATTTTTATAATAAAGCTTCATATTTTTATCTTCTCTTGCACATTTTGACTCCACCCACTATTTTTATTATTAGGTGCTCTTCCTTTTGATTCTCCAAGCATATACTTTGTAACGTTTTTAATATAATTAGCTACTTTTTCCCGGTTATGAAGGGAGATGGCAACAGTTTTGCAGTTTGGGATGGGTTGGACAGCAGTTTAGTGGTCTGGGAAGGAGTGGATAGCAGCTGGACAGCCTTCAGCAGCCTGAGAGCGTTCTAAACATCCTATGGTTGCTGTTGGAGGTAGGCTATGTTGCACCGATACGGATACGGCGACACGGATACGACACGATAAGGATACGGGACACGGCAATTCTTAAAAATACAGGATATGGATACGGCGCGGATACAGCATTATAATATATAAATCATACATTAAAAATAACAAATTAATCAAAGCATAATATTTGAAAAGACAAAAAAAAAAGCAACAACATTTTTAGCATTGTATCTTATAATATCAAAATAAAAGTAAGCATTAAATATTTAAATGTCTAGTACAATAACAAAAACAAAAACAAAAATTGTCCAGCAGATGAAGTTTGTAATTAAAAGTAAGAAGGATCGACACAATTAATCCACATGAATTTGAAACATGAATTTTTTTAATAAAAAGTATAGATATGTTGCACCTATGCCGGGGGTCCAAGGGGGTGCTGCCCCCTGGCGGGGTTCGACCTGCTTGGTACCATTCGATACCCCTCTGTACCGAGCGGTACCGAGTGGTACCGAGCAGTACCGAGCGGTATCCGAGTGATACCGAGTTCCGGTACCGAGCAGTACTGAGTTCTAGTATCGCTTGGTACCGAGCAGTACCGAGCGGTAACGAGTACCGAGCAGTACCGAGCGGTATCGAGTACCGAGCAGTACTAAGTTCTAGTATCGAGCGGTACCGAACAGTACCGAGCAGTACCGAGCAATACCGAGTACTGAGCAGTACCGAGTACCAAGCGATACGCGTGTCCGATCAAATTTAAATAATATTTTAATTGGACACGGCAAAGCCGTATCCGACACATATCCATGCCGTATCGGAGGCGTATCCGTATCCGACACGTGTCCGATATAGCATGCCTCATAAAAAGGCGTATCCGTGCAACATAGGAGGTAGGCGGGCAGCAGTCTCTACACTTTCTTTGTGAAGACGAAGGAAGAAGAAGGGAGCAGACAACCTACCTGATTGTTTTAGGAGAAGTGTAATTACCACCAGGCTTGGCCGGGAGGAGATAGAACCTACGGGAAGAACACCAATCTTCTTCAATTATCAAAATAGGTAATATTTATAAGACAAATTACCTCTAGAGATCCTTAGGATGGAATAAAACAGAGTAACAGAATTTCAAAAGAAATTACAGAAAATATAACAAATAAAACTGAAAGCAAAGAAAAACAAAAAGTCCTGATTAGCTTAAACCGGCTCAAACCCAACTGCACACTTGCCCCGGTGTCAATCTCTTTTGCAGACCAATCAAAAACAACAAACAAAGACAAACTGATAGGAAAACATATAACCATGTTGGCAATAAAAAATGGGGAACAGATAGGTTTTCTATGAAAGTGAGATGATGGAAATAAAAAATGTTTCAGTTGTTAACAAGATAAACTTCATTATGCTAAGGAAAGGCCAACAAATGTCATTAAATTAAGATTAATTGTGCCATAGTTATTCCTGCTTTTAATATGTAAAGCAAAATACAAATTTGGGCCACCTTTTACTTCCCACTAATATAGATCTTAAACTGACAGCTGATAAGAGAAACAAGTCAGAGCACATCTAACCAAAATGAAAAAGCAAATATTAAAAACAAAAAAATAGCAGAAGAATTGAAATGGAAGGGTGGTATAGAACAAATCACTGCATACCACATGAGCTCCAATTGGACCAATTGGAGGACATTTAAACTTTCTTTGATGCCTCTCAATAGCATGCAAGAGGCTGAGAACTTTATGCCCTCCAAATGCTGTTACCTGGAACAAGTAAAATACCCATACATATAGCAAAGTAAATGGACTTCAAAAAGTGCAACAACGTCTGTAGATCATAATTAAATAGATACGTCACCCGATGATCAGAAGTGGAGAAGTGGAAAAATCAAAATTCTAGTGAAGCCTAACCTTGTTTGTTTGCTGTTGCTTAAGAGCTTGCGATTGAGAACATAGACCATGACATTTTTTTTCATTATCATGAACCTGCACAAGCCAAATCTATCCATAGCATAACATAAACGTAGTTGCAGGAAATCATACTATGCTAGCATCTCAAATTTAAGAAAGCGCAATGATGATTAAATTAGGAGGCACTCTTGAGTAGGATTAATCACTAGCTCAGCCTTTATCCAGTAGTTATAAGATCAAATATGTTGCCCAGCCTGATAAAGACTACTACTTAAAACTACTAACATGATATAACATGATAAAGACTGCTTTAAATTAATAGCACTAATGCTGGGCTTTCAATTTGACTAAACAACATGTCACCAACAGATAGATGGGAGGCTGATGCGGACATCCAATGGTGAACGCTTATCTGAGGAAGAGATGAAGATCAACGGCCGAGATCATCTCATTTTATCTTAATTTACTAATTGTATTTTTTGTTTTATTTATGCATTTTCCATTTTTTACCCTCTCTTGAGGAAGTTGTCCTTTGTAAGCCCTAGGGGCATGTTTGTCTTTTTGAGTTTCTTTCATTTTGAGGTGTACATATAGAGGCCCTTGTTATTATATTGGTATGATGAAGTTTTAATAAAAAAAAAAAATTGTTGTGCACTTTTGTTACTTTGGAGAACTTTAGTGAGATCTATATGGGAGGGAATCGTAGTATCTACCAGCCGCAATATGGGTCCAAGCTCGTGGCTTGAAGTCCCTTGGTGAAGGGCAGCGTACCACCCGTCAGCCACAAGAAGTCTCCGGGCTCATAGTTTTATCTTTCTTTCACTGAACTCCTTTTCTCCTTCTCCCTTGACTATCGGCCATACCCCCTCCATAGCCGTCGGCCAAGCTTCCCTCTTCCCTCACCCCACTCTCTAAACCGAACACCACCACCCCTTCTTTCTTCTCCACCCACCGGCCATAAGTCCCACAACCACCGGCCTCAAGGAACCTTTATTCCCTACCAAAACCTTCCTTTTCCTCCTAGTCGCCACTATCAAACCCTAGTCCTCACTTGACCGTCAGCCATAACGTCTCTCATTGCCTCCAAATCTTCAAATCCCAAATTAATCCCTTTTTATATGTGGTGTATTTCAATTTAGACAGATTTCAAATTGAAATTTCAATCTTAATTGAATTGAGAGTCTTTCATAAATTAGCTATTTGTTAATTTGGAAAGTTATTCAATTTGAATTCAAATAAATTTTGAATTTAAAAAACTTTCCTATTTAATAAGTTCTACTTTAGGAAACCCCTCCAATTACTCTCAATCTGAAATTAATTTCAGATTTAATTCCCAATCCTAATTAATGCTATATCCATATTCATTGAACCTAGACACCTACTCCTTCCCTCTCACTTTGTCGTCCCCTCTCTCTCCCTTTAATTATTTCCTTATTAAGGAATCCAATTAGGGGAATAATTAACCACTTCTTATCCTTCTCTCCATCTTATTTGAATTTCAAATTCAAATCCTTTAATTAAGGAAAATCTGAAATTGAATTTCAGATTTTTTTTTTTATTTTCCCCCACCCCCATCATTCTACATTAGAGTCCCTCTCCATTTGTTCTCAAGTTTAATCCCACCTAATCAAAGAGTTTCTATTGTACAACAACAACAACAACAACAACAAGCCTTTATCCTACTATGTGGGATTGGATACATAAATCCTTTGTCTCCATTGTGTCTTGTTAAGAGTCAAACTCTCATCTAAATCTAATAAAGAAATGTCATTTCTAATATTTTCTAACCAAGTCTTTTTAGGTCTACATCTAACTTTCTTAACATAAGTCAAATCTAATATATCTACTTCCCTAACTGGGTCATCGGAAGGCCACCGTTTTAATCAAAGAGTTTTTATCGTAATTCTAAAATAATAGAGTAATCACAATCAAACTAATAATTTAATTAGAGTTTATTTCATAACCATACTGTAAAGGATTTATCAGAATCAGGCTAACTCCATCTTGTCAGAGGATATTTGACTTGCCCTTCTAATGTTGAATTTTTATATAACTTGTTTGATAGCATTTGATATTACATCTCCTTTGTAAGCTTGTATTAAATTCGAATTTGATGCCCTCAATTAGCTTTAGTGCGAATGGATGAGTTTTACTTAGAGCACAGAAGCCTTAACATTTTTTTATATTATTGCAGTTTTCAATTTTTTGTATGTTTTTGTTTTTTGGGTAACTTTTTTATTTTCTTGTAAGGTTTTTTATTTTTATAAAGATCAAAGGTTAGATATAATTGGGTTGATGAGCTTGGCATTTGGATATGAGGGGAACTCCCCCAATGAGAATCCCTAGAATTAACTAAACTGCGACAGAAAACCTCTATGAATGAGATTTGATGTCAACGTAGCCATTATTGAGGGGGCCTGCTATTTTGATAAGGTTGATATTGTTCCCTCTTATCATAATCGAGGTATATCTTACCCATCAATGGGAAAGGGTTGTAAGCATGCTTTATTTGGCTTAAGCTACTTTGGAATATAATATCATATTTTGATAGGAAGCACTTGTGTTCGCAAGTATTCCTAAGTCGCCTGTTTCGCGACTCGGCCGGCCCCGTGCGGACCGGCTGGACCGGTCCAATGGACCGGTCTAACATATTTACTTCATAAATTTAGAGGCATTGTTTGTATGTGGAAACATGTGAAATATTTATTTAATCATAAGAATTTGAAATACATCTTCCTAACAAAAGAGTTAAACTTAAGGAATAGAAGATAGCTTATATTAATTATAGATTGCGACCAGAATATACATTGTTATAATTAAAAACTATTCTTCTATAGAAATTCAATGACAATCATAAAGAAGTCATTAATAGCAAAAATTAGTCTCGTACCATGGGAGATCACGATTAGAAAGAAGGTGGTGGAAAGTTGACTTAGGTAGTTTAGGCATGTGAAATGGAGGATAAAAAATTCACATATAAGAAAGGTAGATAACATTGAAACGAACAAACAAAATTAGAAAAGAAATGGGAGACCAAAGATAAAATGGCAAAATATTCCGCAAAAAGGTTAATGGGTAGTTTGGTTAGAAGTATTTTAGGGGTAAAATAAACCAAATGCAGGGGTTTTAGTTTTTTAAGTATTTGGCTCGACATAAAAGTAAAGTAAAATCCTAAGTATTTCAAACCCCCTGCTTTAACTTATTTTACGAGTAAAGAAAAATCAAACAAAATCACAAGAGAAAGGATTCAGTGGACGAGCGCAAGAAAGAGAAGGTTGCAACTTTGTTGCGTCCCATTTCCTTCATGATCAAGCCAGCATGCAAACAGCACCACCGACGCTCGCAAACTCGCAACCAGTTCGTGTCTAGCTCACAATCTCGCGACCCTCTTGACATGGCTCGCGACCATCACTACACCTTTCTTGCTTATGAACATTACCCAAGACTGGCAAAAGAGCTGCTCATGATCGTCGCACACTGCGTCATTGTCGTGGATCCAAATCTCGTAGTCTTCCATGCCCTAGCTAGCGAACTACTTCAAGTAGTAAATTGGAATAGATTTCTTTTTTGCCTGTAATGGTAAGGACCCCGCTGCTTTCAACCTTACAAATCATATAAACTCATGAAATCATAAATTATACATCTGTAAATGTGATGAATTTGAATTTAATGTCGATATAGGAAGGGTGATTTTCTTCTATATTTTGCATAAAAATTTATAATTTTTGCAGCTCTGTGAAAAGCATAATGCTTATGAGGATTTGAATGTCAAAATTCTTCAATAGTACAAATGAAATGGGCTGATTTTTTTGTGTCTTCTATATTAATTTATCAAAATTTCCTACAGAGGTTGTCTTCTATTTTGATTTTCTAGCACTCAATTGCTACAAGCAAGAACATTTAGCCTCATGCCCATTCTTTAATTCAACTTCTATAATAAAGCTTAGATATTATCATTCTAATCGGTATTTACCAATATAGGAATGTAGGCTAGTTTACATCCGAATTAAACTTTATTTATAAGTTTGAGCTTCAGCTAATAATTGGTCATAAATCTCAATTTATATTTCATTATTTGGATAACAAATTTCTTTGGCAATGTCATCTCTCTAATTTTATTTTTTAATTGCAGGTTTTCCGCCATGAGCTCAAGTGGTTGATAATATATACAAGGAGAACAAATCATTTAGGAAGTTCTAAAGTCCGTTGAGTGTTGAGATATTAGATCTATAATTTCAATATCTTGGGATCATAACTTGTGCCTTTAAACTAAATTATATTGAGCTTTACTGTATTGAAGGAGTTGGTATGTTGTAGCTATTTAGATATTAGGAGAAGGTTATGAATTTGTACTTATTTATGTATCTCCCCATCACATCAATATGATAAAATTCTAATATTAGTTGGTTGTATTGGTTGTTTCTCTTTTTTCCCTCAAGTGTTCCTAACAAAGCCTTATATTTCAAATTGAGTTGTTGCTGATACAACGAGTAGCAATCAGTTATGAGGATCTCAATTAGATTTTGTGCTTTGAATAGAAAAAGTGTTCAGTCATGAGAATTCGTCTAGGAATGTTTTTTATTATTATATTTTTTTTCCCACAAGCTCATAAAATTATAACTTCTAATATGAACTCAAGGTATTTGATCAAATTAGACTGTTTTTATTTTACTCTATATATACCCAACCAAATAGCCTCTAAATATTAATGCATTGATTTTACTTTATTCTAAATACATCCAACCAAATAGAAAAAAATAATTCCCTTGCTTTCACTTTACAGATAATCAAAAACCTCAAAATATTTACTTTACATCGATTTTACACTATATTTTTTCTTCAACAAACCAAACAGTCTTTAAAATAAAATATTATTAACATCTCATGCTATCACATAGCACTCAACAAAAACAAATGGTGAATAATTCATTAAGACGCACCTAAATAGCTGGGATAATGGTAATGATACTATAACGATGCCTCACTACGATATTTAGAATGAGTCAAATTGGATGGTATATACTGGGGTGGGTGGGCAGGTTGGTTGGTAGGTGGGTGGGTTGTGTTACTGCTGGCATTCTGGAATACACATGTTCTAGAAGTGGATATAGTACAAATTCTATATGAATAGTGATTAACAGAAACAAATCAACTCACATCACATAGCCTGCTGACTAAAAGAATGTCTAATCCAGAATCCGAATCATGGAAATCACATGAAGCAATCTTTAAGCCAGAATTTTCATCCAGAATATGGATTACTTCCATCATTTGATAGATATAAATTAAGCCAAGCAAGAAAAAGCACAACCCAATATATATCTATCATAGAATCAAACCTCTTTTACAAGCTCTTTAATAGTTTCTCTGGCAATTAATAATCTTTCTGTTAGTGCCTTCTCTTCTTCCTGCAGTCTAAAACAAAAAATATAAAATAAAGCAAACATCTTAAATAACAACCAAAAAGTAACGTATTCGAGGCACAAAACACATAACAACAAAGCAGCTAAATAGGCAAATAACCTTGAAACATTTCTTTGAACTATATTAATCTCATCCTGTAGTTTCTGCATTTGTTTCTCAAACTCAGCTTCCTCAGCCTACAATTGCACGATGACAAGAATGTATGGTTCAGAAATATCCATGTAAACTAATCATTAACAACAAACTTTTGCCAATGTATTATAATTAGTCAAATACAATAGAGTAAGAAAGAACACATTTAAACTGAGCATCTAATTCCTGCCTGACACATAAACTAAATATGAATAAGGCTTGCATGTCGCACCTCTGGGCATTTGCACACAGGAATAGCAACCATAATCAAGATCCTTGATGGGTCATATGATCTTAAGTAAAACTATTCTATTTAAGCACCATCACAACCACATCATAACCAACCCCATTTCCAGCTCTGCTGGCTGTTCCGGTACTACCACCAAATCCACAGTATACCATGACATACCACAGCGACATACAGACAGATCCAAAACACCAAGAAGAAATCACAAAAAAATAAAGGGAGATTTACATACATACCACTTAATACTACTCTATTTACATATTTAACACCTCAAACTTTAATATTACATACATACCACCCATAGTTCATTTTCATATCAAATTTGAGTGATAGAAGCACCAAAGAAGCAACAAGCAAGACACAGACTTAAGTAGGTGAAAAAGGTAGCCCAAAATGCCTATTAATGTAAGAGAAATTCACTGTGAAATTTTAAGAGAAATTATACGTATCTCTTCTCTCACACTCTCATCTTGTCTCTCTTCACTTTACACTTCATTCTCAACATAGAATAAACAAAGACACAATTAAATTACACCAAGGGACGCAACCCTTCAAGTTAAGCATGAAACACAAGAAAGAATATTGTCCAGTTTGACTCAAAACACCGCGGCACTCCACTCTTTGTCTCTGAGCCACCATGGAGCATCGCAACCCTTTTCTCTCTCTTTCTCCAACCAGAGACTGCAGCGCCACAGTGCTCAAATATATAGTGCCGCAACACTATATGGTTGTAAGGGAATAAAATTTGGGGGGGGACCCCACAACGAGCTCTACGAATGGAATTGAGAACTAAGAAAACAACACAATTAATTGACACAATCAAATTCTGATAATACTAACAGGATATTATTCATATAGAGCTAAAAAAGAAACTCTTATATGCTTGCAATTAATAGATCATATATAATACTAAGAGCAGTAATATAATATATATGATTCCTAAGTCTTCTTTTGATATATGACAAACCACATATAAAGGCATGATTCAAATAGAATATGTATATCATATAACCAGACGTCTTTTGAAAGAAGAGTAATACAAATGGTGTAAATAATATACATGAGGAGTTAGATACTTTGGCATTTAGCAAGATAAATGTTATAAATCTCATGCTTTCTTGAAAGCAGTTGTAATTGATAAATCCATTATTAAGTTGATTTAATATGATTTTCTCAATGAACTTACTTTTATAGACTTGTAAATCTAGAAGTAAAGAATAAAAAAACAAATATAATTTTTGTTTGATTAGTACAGAAATAATATGAATAAATAATTTAACAGGAATAACATAATCAATTCATTCAATTAATTTATCAAATTTAGCATATATAACTTGTTTTAGTCATGGATGTTCTCACTAGACATTTGCAAGAGGTTGTACTATGGTGTGTGCTTTTGCTGAAGATATTCTTCTTATTGATAAGACTAGAGAGGGAGTTGAAGGTATACTTGAATTATGGAGGTCAACCTTAGAGTCTAAAGGCTTTTGTTTGAGTAGATCTAAAACTGAAGATATGGAGTGTAATTTTAGGAATAATAGTTCTTGTGGGGGTTTGTGACTTTGGGTGATCAAGTCATTAATAAGAGTACACGTTTTTGATATCTTGGGTCAATTGTTCAGAGTGATGGGTGAAATATATGAGGACATTATTAGTAGAATTCAAGTTGGATGGTTGATAGCTGGTAAGGATATGCATCAGGCTTGTTGTGTGATAGAAAAGCCCCCCCCCCCCCCCCCTCCCTCCTCTCAAACTTAAGGGAAAATTCTATACGATGGTGGTCAGTACTGCAATGCTTTATCGTGCAAAAATGTTGGTCATTAAAAGAGAAGCATAATATTAAGTTAAGTGTTGCAGAGATAAGGATGCTCAGGTGGATGAGTGGCTTTACTCTTAGAGGAAAAAAAAAATAGATGAGCATATATGTGAAAAGGTTAAGAGTAGCCATGAAATAAATATATAAATCATATTTTGTTCATGAGACTAGAGAAGAGTGATTATAAGTTTAATAAATAATAAATAATTGCTAATAATTCTTTTTTAAATTAAGTTATCATCATATTTCCTGCTCAATTTAAGTTATGTGCAAAAGATAAAATAATAACTTGTAATCATACAAAACTCGAGAAATTTAAATTACACATCACATTAAGCTTCTACATATATTAACGCACAAAATTTATGATTTTATTACAAACATAAATTTTTTATAGAATTAAAATTACATATATACTTAAGATAAATTTTAAAAAATTAAAAGCTAAAAATATGCAAAGTTTCAATTAGTTTAAAATGAATTTTTATGTGGAATTATGTTAGACAGGTCCAGCCGGTCAACCTAGACCGACTATATTGAGGTGGAATAGTTCTATTTTTTTAGGCAGAACTTCCGCCCGCTCCTTTTTGCAGTGGGTCCTAGGAGGTGATTTCAAACGAGGGATGATGGGGGGAATTAAGAGGGAAAATTAATATGAAGAGGGCAGCTTCGGAATTGTATTATCTTGGGTAAGCTTTAAGTAGTGTTTACCTAGGTTTCAATTTTTTTATGTATTGTTTACTAACTTCAATTTAGACATAGGTTATTTGAGTTCTAGCCGACGACTAAGGATTTGAGATAGTTGGGTCTTCCTCTCCAATTGAAGATCTAATTGTATCTTGCATTTCTCTTCGCAGTTCTTTCAATAAAAATTATTTTTGGGTGTCCTTCCCAATTTTCGTGTTTCAACAACTGATTTTGTGAAAAGTGCAAGTGTTTGCTATTAAATTGGTATCAAAGCAATTTCCTGAACAGAGAAATCTTTCTCGCTAGTTTCTACAGTGTTTCCTCTCCAATCTCGTTGTTTTTTGCGGTTTGGAGGCCAAATTCGCATCAAAGTTTCTTTTTTTTTTTGCTATTGGAGCCTAAATCCGGGTACCTATGACAGGAAGAAAGGTAGAAGTGTTGAAAGGGGAGATCAGACAATTAAAATATAAAATTTCATATCTCCAAACTCAATTTTCAAATGTCAAAAGTCAAATTTCATACATTGACGAGAAGATGGATGGGAATTTTCTATCTTGGAGTTGTTATTGAAGAAGTTGCTCGAGGGCCAACTCAAAATAGTGTTGTCAGAGGTGAGGTCATCCTCCGACAACCAAGGAATTGGGGACAACCCTAATCCGATAAGGCGAAGGAAAGATCAAGAGGTGGAGATTCTGGAGAGAGAAGACAGAATGCCTCCCCTAGAGCCTATTCCTAGGGAGAAGCCGGGTAGAAGGTATGTGGAGAGGCATGAGGAGGTCGGGCATGATCGAAGGGCTATTGAGTTTGAGAGGAGAGGGGAGGAATTTGAAAGGAGAAGAGCTAATTATGACCAAAGGGTTGCTGAATTTGAAAGGAGAAGGGTTGATAATGATCGAAGAGGTGCCAAATTTGAAACGCGAATGGCTGAATTTGAAAGGAGAGGGGTTGATTATGATCTAAGGGATGTTGAATTTGAAAGGAGATGTTGGGAATTTGATGAAATGTTTGGATACGAGCGTAGAAGGAATGATTGGGGTATTGGGGAGGAACCAACCCTTGGGGAATGGAAAATTATGGAGGAAACAGTGGGAATTGAGAAAATATGAGGTGAGGTAGCTGAAGATGCCTATTTTTTAGGGAGATGATGCCCATGAGCGGATCTACAAGGTGGAAAGATACTTTACAATTAATAGGTTGACAGAGGAAAAGAAATTGACGGTAGTCGGGATGTTCTTGGAGAGAAAAGCGTTGACATGGTATCAGTGGAGGGATACGATGCAACCCATATGGTTCTCGAGGAAGTTTAAAGACTGCTTGTTGGAGCATTTCCAAACTAGTAGGGGAGGGAACTTTTATGAGCAATTCTTTGCCCTAACGCAGGAGGGGCAGTGGTGGAATACCGTGAGAAGTTTGAGCACCTGGCCAACAAACTAGACCGGCTTCCAAAGACTGTACTGGAGGGGAACTTTATGAAAGGGCTCAAACAAGATATTTGGGTGGAAATTAGAGTGATGAGGCCTCGTGATTTAAGAGAGGTTATGGAGCTAACCCAGTTAGTGGAAGATTATAGGCACCTGAAGAGAGGGACTGGAGGAAACAACTTAGGAGGTTTGTGCAGGATGACAACCACCTTTTAGGCATCCAAGGAGCCAGCACCAAGTACTATTATGGAGACCTTGAAGGAAAAAATTGCAGGAGGGAGACATGGGAAAAATTTCAAGAAGCTCTTAGAAATAGATTTATAGAAGAACAAAGCGAATGGGCTTTGTTTCAGATGTGATAAGAGGTATACACTGGGAAACCAATGCAACGACCAATCTCTTCAAATTCTCACCATTTGTGATGACAACGAAATTGAGGAATGAGCCATCTTTCCACCTTGTGGACAAGGTAAGTCTTTGGGAAGGGGGGTATTGTTCGACCAATCCAACCGGTCAACCTGAATCGGCTCTATTAAGGCGGAATAGTTTCGACCGTTTTAAGCGGAACAGGCGCCCGCCCACTTTTTTGCAGCGGGGCCCATGAGGCATTTTCAAAATGGGGATGAGGGGGAAATTATGTGGGAAAATTAATATGAAGGGGGCTATTTGGGAATTGTATTATCTTGGGTATACTTTAAGTAGTGTTTACCTAGGGCTCAGTTTTTTTATGTCTTGTCTGCTGAATTCAGTTTAGTCTTAAGTTATTTGAGCTTTAGCTAGCGGTTAGGGATTCAGGAGAGCCGGATATTTCTCTCCAATTGAAGATCTAATTATATCTTGTATTTCTCTTCGTAGTTCTTTTAATAAAAATTATTTTTGGGCATCCTTCAAAATTTTCGTGTTTTATCCGTTGATTTTGTGAAAAGTGCAAGTGTTTCCTATCAAATTAGTGCATAAATTTTAAGCTTAATTTTTCATTATTTATGAATATAAATTAATATGCATGTTAATATGCATAATTAAAATAGTGCTAATAACTTAAAGTTGGGAACTTAAGGTTGGAATTTTATACTTAATTTCTCAACTTGATTTATGTGACAATTTAATTTTATACTTTTACAAATTTAGATAGAATTTAGGAACATATCAAAAATTGTTTTTTCCGCAAATTTTTCATCATTTTAAAATCTAAAAATTTCAAATATTTAAATTTATTATTAATGTGGATATTTTATGATTCTATTGTAAAATTAAATAAGGTTTTTATGGAATTGCCATGCAAACCCTCTCCAAAGCAAGTGTCTCAGACATGCAAGTCTTCATGCAAAGCTCATTACATCAAGAAGGCAAAATTATGTACACTTGTTTCTTCATTCTTCGAACCATGCATTCTTCATGCATAATCCCACCCCTGTCTACAATTAAGACAAAAAAAACATTGCTCCAAAGCAAGATTAGTAGTGAGGTAAGGGAGAAAATTTAATTTTAGGTTAAAGTTTGGTTGTGGTGGAAGAGGAAGAAAGAAGTTTTAGAGAGAGAATTTTGAGAAAAATCCAGAAAAACCTTAAAAAAAATTTAAATACAAGGTTTCATAAACTAGCTTTCCTTTGTGAATTTCCTCTATAATCATCTAAATATGATAGGATTATAGGAAAGGCATTTGTTAAGATTATCGAATTCTATTTACATTATGTTAATCCAAATTACATAGCATGATTCTAAATTTATTTACTCATAATATGCATCTTGATGTACATATGCCCCTTCTATAAACTTAGTTATTAGTGGATAAGTTGGTGTTTATCATGAAATTATTTATTGGCACTCCTAAAAAATATAATTATTATTGAATTTTTAGTTTCGTACTCTTTAAAAAAAAATTCTATAAGTCTTCGTGAGAATATTATTTAATGATATTAAACAAGTTTTAGGGGTTGTCTGTTTGGATGTATTACAAGTGAACAGAAAAATAAAGAGTTCTAAGATTTTAGGTATTTGGCTGAAAAAAAAACAACTAAAAGTAAGTTTATCGGGAATTTGGAATTCCCTTAGCCTGTTTTTGGCGTATTTCAAATTTTCTAGGTTCTTAGTAATATTTTTTGTAAGCTTTAAATCAATGCAAGGATCACCCAACCTTTTATCAACAAAAAATATTAAGAAACCAAAAGAACGTTTAAACTATGTTATGCATAACATTGTTTATAAGCAAGTTGCCAAACAAATGGATTTGGATCAGTTATTTCCTAAGCAACAACATGACAACACACTGAAGGCATGGCTCAAAAAAGTTTGAATGTCAATGGCTTAAATTCAGCTCCCCTTAAGAAAACTTCTAGCGAAGCAGTATGATAATTCGAATAATTCATCATCCGTCATAGTCAGCAAAATTAATGTTCATCACATTGAAAAAGTAATGTCACAACCAAAGCATGCCAAGGAAACTACGCTTAACAAAGATTAAACTAACTATCCACACTCAATGAAGAGATAAAAGAAACAGTATAGGAAAATTACTCAATATCTAGCAATTCGTTTAAAATATTTAGCGCAATGCCAAGACTCTGAACCTAAACATCAATATAAGAACATATGAAAATTTTGGTGCCTTAATATGACATTCATGCTAAGTGCATCTAGTTTATACATTTGAAATAACTATTATGATATTTCTTTCTAATACACAAGAAACTGGCGAGACAACAAGCAGACCAACGCAAAAATCAACTAATAAAAAGGAGATCTATGTACAAATTTCCAAGTAGTAAAGAATGCAAAAAGCTTTGAAACGAACTCAATTTTTCACACAAATGGATTAAAAATTGAGACACCTGTGTAACTTTCATATGTTGCTCCTGAGTATCATGAAGTTGCTGCTCCAGCAATCTTACACGTTTCCTCATTTCAGATATCAAAGAATCACCTCGAGAATACTCTGCTTCAAGCTCAGCTCTCTCCTTCTTAGCCTACATAAGGAAAGAACCTGGATGAATAAAAATTCATAGTTCAAAAAATTGCTATTTATATTTTACTAATTATAATATTTGAAGAAGTAAAAACAAACCAGGTTTCATCTGTTACAGCAAAAGTTCAATGTGCTTCAAAACATAGCTCTTAAAAGATCATTGAATTTAGGGCATGAAGATAAATATGCAGGAATCCGCTTACAATTAACAACTATTATCTCTGGAACATCTCTGTGAAGCATCAAAAAGTTATAATTGGGCCAAAGGCACTACAAAACTATCACAAGAAGAAACATGCTTTTGATATGATTCTATGTCACCAATCAATAGATCAACATGCTTATTCTTCTATTAAGTACTTCGCTTGCATCATCTGTCAAAGCATTATGTGGGCTATGAAAGATACCATACCCCATACTCATGTGAATAGGCAAGAAGTACTTTGGAGGTAGATTACATAGTAATTAAACAATGCATAGAGATTCCACACTCGTGTGACTTTGTTATTTTGATTTGAAGGTTCCTCACAGGAAAACACTTATGTGGTCAATTATCTCCCTCGTTAAGAAATGAAATTTTAATTAAGGTTAGTCACAAGTTTCATGTTAAATTTTTTGCAACAATGGCTTTTGCTCGACTCAACCTGCTGTATTAATTGAATTCAAGGTTATTACTCCTTATAGTTCAACTGAGATTTTTTTATATGTTTAAGAAGTAGGGAATGAAAGCTTAATCAAGAGTAGATCCAATTTTTTATTAAGTGGAGGCAGCGGACCCAACCTAATCAAAGTACTCCATCAACTTCTTCATTCAAGGTGACGTCAAAGACATGAACGGTCAATTCTAGTCCAACTCAAGCTAATGCAAGATTTTGTGCCTCCTATCTAATGCATCAAGTGAAACTAAACGCTTAAATCCATGCTATTGGGAATAAATTAAGCTTTGATCATAACTGTAATATAATGGCAGCATTGCAATTAGTTAATCAGACAGACAAAGAGCACGTGCCACATCATAACAGACAGATATTTTAAAATACATTTTGCTTAATTGCGTTAATATGGCTGTTTTGTAAACTAAAGTCAGTTTTGAATTAAGCATCTTCAACTAAAAGCAGAGGACTTTTACTTTAAGCACAAAGAAACAATTTTATGTTTTTATGTTTTTATATAATTTATGTGCTTTATTATAAATCTAATAATTTTGTTAATATTTTTACATTTTGTTGGGAGCAAAGGCTAATAAAGGTTAGAAATTAGGCTTCTTCCGGATTAGTCATTTTTTGGTTGGGACACCTTCGTGGCGACAGTATTTATGTATCGGATCCGAACATCTAAAGATAAGCTATCTTTAGTTGGCAGGAGGATGAGTAGGTATGGCAAATATTCCTTCTAATTGGATTCATATTATCAATGTGTCCATCATCGGGGAAAAGACAAATATTCATATTCAGGGCAATTAGATTGTCTAATCATCAGCTCCTTAAACGTTCAAGATAATTCCTCGATCTAACCTATAGGAGCTTCTTCTTTTTTTCAAAGGGACTTCAATTTAACAATTTGACCGATATATTATTAAATGAGTGCCTAATACTTAGACCATCTTTTGGCTTGTTGAGTGAGGAGAATATATGAGACTCAATCAAGTTTGGGCGTATTGCATTCAACCATTGAACCATATGGTCAAGCATATAGTCCTGGTATCACTCCACAATAATTAGTTGAAGCTTTGCAAATTTAAAATTTCCTTTCCAATTTATTGAAGGTAACAAGCTGATGAAGTTAGAGCTTAATAGACCCTGGTCCCAAAAGTCCTAAAATATATGATTATTTAGTAATGGCTTTGGCTATTTTAGCAAAGACTGGTATTTGTAGAATTGTAAGCAGTTATAGGTGCAAAATTTTATAGTTGATGAATTGGTATTCCTTTTGATTATGATGATGCATATTTTGCACCTATAATTGAAAAGGGGTGATGTATAAATTATATTAAACTTATTGGTTTAATGGAATTAGAGGTATATTTTAGTTACCATTAAACATTTGCTAGGATAAGATCCCACTTAGGATTTGGGATTGTGGGCTCCGAAAATTCGGCCCCGGCCTGACAGAAGGATCCTTGTCGGCAACCATGGGTTGCTTCGTCCAAGGGGACCTTGTAGACCGGGGATGAATGTTTGTCTAAGGGGACAAATTTGAATCCACTTTAGCTGACAGAGGGCTTTGTGCCCTATCGATCATATCCTATTGATTCATATCTCAAGGATTTGATGTCAATAAGGAGCGTATTTGGCTCTGGCCATAACCGAGATATCGTGGTGCCATTTGGCGGCGAAACCACGCGGTTCAGAGGGCCCTATAACGTTCTTACTGCTGCAGTACTCCATTTGGCGCGAAACTGTCGGTTAGAGGACACGCTACCCACGTCCTTACTGGCAAAGAGTTGTTTGAGAATGGATCCTAGTGATATTCGACTAGGCATTTGTGCTCTTTGTGGAGCTAGAGTTTATTGAATTTGTCACCCCGACAAACTGTTGCGGAGGGTGGATGGATTTTGCTTTAAGTTTTTGATGGATTTATTTCAATTTTTAAATATTTTTTGGATTTTAAACTTTGGAGTTTCTTGGATTTTTGGGTGGAGCTTTGGATTTTTGGATTTTGGCATTGTGGGTGGAGTTTGAAAATATTTGGGAACCCCTCCGGTTGAGATCTGCATTCAACACGGCCATCATCGGGGTGTTTGGGGTCATTCCCTTTATGGATTGAACCTTGTCAACTCTATCGGGCTGTCGACAGAGGATCGGGTTTCGTAGGCTTTATGCCCTTTGATAGTGAATTCTCGTTGTTGTAAGCCTTGAAGGCCTAATTATGAATGTATTAAGACAAATATGACGGTCGCTACAACCGTATATTTGTTTGTTGGTTCGAACCCTGTCGACTTCTATTGACCCGTATAGAAGGATCGATTTCGATCCTGAATTCACTTGTCAATCCGCGCAGCATCCCTAGACGTCACGTGTGTACCAATAACACGCTCGTCGGGGCCATGCGGTTGAGAATATATTTCCCCCTTTAGTGTACCTATGTGTATACAATTTATAGTGCACGTGCAGGCATTGTTTAAAATTGCGCAATATGAGGCTCGCCTTGACGCCCTCTTTTGCGCAATTCCAGTAAAAAACGCCTCGATACTTACGCCTCGAGTTTTTGTTATGAGGCTTGCGCCTCAACTTGTTGAGGCCGTCTGCCTCACTGGCATGAGGTTTACGCCTCATGCTATATATATTTAAACTTACATAATACTTGAAGTAAATGCCGCGACATTGGACTCTATAGGAGAGGAGGAAGGGGAGAGAATAGTTCACCATAAGGATGATTCAAATGAAGAACCCCTTAGTGATGATAGTGCTGATGACTTATGAGTTTCTTATGTGATATGTCATTGCTATTGTATTGAATAAAAAATGGATTTGGGAAAGGAGATTTTGAGTTGAACTATATTTCATGTTGTTCTTATTATTGAGATATTTTCATTTTCCTTCATATCTTATGCTTTTTATGTTTATATATTCATAATTAAGTATATAAAATTTTTTCATTTTAATGTTTAGCAATCTTCGTATTTGAGGCTTTACGCCTCAAAACGCCTTGAGGCTTACGCCTCGCCCAGAATGAAAAACGCCTCAATACCCGAATGCATTTAAAACATGTTGCGTGCAGGGGTATTTTGAAACGTTGTAACCCTTCTGTCCTGCATACGAATTTTTGAAGATCCGGGGGTATTTTGAGTTGTGTACGCTTTCTGTCTGCTTGTTGATTGCAGATCCGGTGGCGTGACGTTGTAAGTTGTGTCCGCCTTTGTCTGCTTGTATGAGTGTTGCAGATCCGGTGGCGTGAAAGTAGCAGCTTCTGAATCAGTTTTTGTTGCTTTGTACAGGTAGACTGTCGTGCACTATGTTGATTTTTGTAAGGGTCATAGTGCACTAACTAATCTCCTGCCTTAGATCGTAGGAGCTTGTATTTATACATGAATTCGTTCTTTGCTTGTAGATACACTTTACATACATGAAAAGCTTCCCAACAGTTGCAGGAATTTGGATTCATCGTAGCCTTATATCTTTGCTCGCAGAGAACATGTGTACTTGTATCAAATAGGGGATTTGTTGCACTTACTACATAATCACTAATATTAACCACAAATAATTTCGTCGATCATCATAGTTCACAGGGAATAGTTGTGTTTGTCTACACAGTGAGCCACCTCAATTGTAGTGATATCACACTTAATTGCATACCCTTGAGTGTATCTGTCCTCCATTGGATGGTTGTTAGTTGTAGAGATGCCACAATATCTGCTAAAACAGTTTAATAGGTGCTTTGCATATGAAAGAGATTTCCTATGTTGACTTGTAGGAGCTCGCATCTATCATTTATTTCTCCCAACATATTGATTGTGAGCACATTTATGCAATTATACGCATGCTATCACCATAGCTTACTGAGATTTGATACATTTGCTTTGCCTCTCATATGCTTTGTGTTGTTTGGATTCAACTCTTTTGATCGTAGGGAATCAATGCTTTTGATTGATGTTATTTATGAGGTGGTTTTGACATTCACTGCATCTCGTCTGTTGTCACCTTTGACTAAATTCTATATGAAAGAGACCTCTCTTCATCTGTTTGTAAATGCCATTACTTGTATGTGATGAGTCTCCTATTTGTTTCAACTTACCATAATGCATTCATCACTAATCAACATTGAAGTTCCATTTAGCGATAAGCCTCATTGCTTGTAAGGCTCGATACGTCAACTACATTTGGGTCTTATTTTTGTAACAAATAGGCATGATTGTTTGTATGTAGATTGATTTGATTGAACAAATTCGAGATAATTCCACCTCAGCATTCCTTGTTTATATACTCTCTTGAAGACTTAATCTTTCTTCACTTACTTATCTTGATTTCATCATTGTTATGATATATGACTTTCACTTCCAAA